TAAAAAATAGGAAGATCACCCATTAGGATCTCCTTTTAGGGCTGATCCATAACCGATGTGCCTCTGTAACATCTGGAGTATGACCAGTTTTGTTCGTGTCTCCATTCTTCCAATTAGCTAGTGTAGAACTGAAACTGAGAACTTCTTAGATGCTGAAAATTCAGTGTAGTGGGCCAAAGCTGAAAGAATTCAGTATGTGGAGTTGCTGAAGATTTCAGTGGAAGTTACATGCATAGAGGACTTGTAGCATGAGACCCAGAGTTGTGTTTGTTAGAGTTGAACAATACAAAGCTTATACAAAAGCAGCTCTACTCCAGCACATCAGTGTTGTGAATTCCCTAAATTTGAGAGACTCTTTTTCAAAATTATTTTGAAGGAGCAACATTTTAGTTGCATAGCCAATGTGTTTTCTTGAAGTTATCTGTAGTAAACTATTTTTACAGTCCAGCTGTTCATCTTTTTTTCAGCAATTGTCTGCTAAAATCATAAAAAAGATAGTTAATGGGAGTTTTGCTTGCAAATTCCTGTGTGTTGAGAATAGCAAAAATGCCAATATTGATTGTGTACATTTGCCTTCAATTGGTGGAACCCGAATTGATCAGCTGTGTCATTAGTTTTGTTCTAGTTCAAGTGTTTGCTCATGTCTAGTTCAAGTGTTTGCTCATATTATGTGTGGGTGCTTGCCCTAGGCAACAGTCCCAGACGTTTTCCCCTCAACAGTATCCTTAGGGGACCAACTCTGGTGCCTTCTGGAGTGACGCCCATATGTCATGTTATAAGGCAGTATTTCTTAAACTGTGTTCCGTGGCATACTGGTGTGCCGTGGAGAACAACAGAATTCAAAATGGCCACCCTTAAAGGGTCAGGTGATCTTCCCCTTGACTTTTTTTTTTTTTTTTTTTTTTAAGAAAAAACAAGTTTAAGAAATACTGGTATAAGGGGTGAAGCCAGCTTCCCACACCCTCAGTTCCTTCCTGCTGCCAGTGATGGTCCTGGAATGTCTGCTGCTTCAGCTAAGTCCTCTGTGGAGACTGCTAAGGGGAAAATATATTTGTTCTTCATTCTCGTGAACTTTACAGAACCTATAATTTAGTTATTTCTAGTTAGTAGTTGAATTAGTTATCCTTAGTATAGTTTTAAAGTCTTCATTAGTCCCCTAATGAGGCTCCGCCTTGGGGATGGCGGCATGCCTTGGTCCCCAAGCTTTAAGCTCTGTAATCATTGTCAATGACCCTTGCCCATCAGTGATCCCCATAATAACTGTCTTAGGTGCTTGGGTGAAGGGCACATATCGATCACCTCTTTCATAAGGACCTGTTACAAGCTAGTGGAGGGTCCTGCTGCTGCTGTTTGTCAGAGCCTACTCGGCTAGAGCTCAGGTGCTCTTTGCTGCCTTCCTGGTACACCTCCCTATCCAGGACATCTGTAGAGCCACGACATGGTCTTCTGTTCGCATCACTCAATAGGTCAGAGACAATGCTGCCTTCATCAGAGCTGTCTTGCAATCTACACATCCATGAACTCCTACCCACCTCTGTTGGTATTGCTTGGGGCTCCCCCTAATATGAAATGGACATAAGCAATCATTTAAAAAAGAAAATACACTGACTCTTGTCTGTAACTGGGGCTCTTCAAGATGTGTTGCTCATGTTGATTCCATGACCTGCCGTACTATCAGAGTTTCCAGCAAGAAAGAATTAAGAGTGGAGGGAGCGGCTGGTGCCCCTTAAAACACTGCTCCAGAACCGGTCCCCTATGCACACTGCTAAGGGAAAAACTTCCAGCACTCGTATGTGGCAACCACACCCAGCTAATATGGAACAGACATGAGCAACACATCTTGAAGAACAGAAATTGTGGAAACAGGGATCTGTCTTTCTTTGAAAGCTAATAGAGATTTTCCTTTAGCTCGAGAAAAAGGGGATTGTTCTTTTGGAGCTATGCAGTCTGAGTTTATTCCCACTGTCATCCTGGAGCCACAGATAACCATGATGCACAGCATGGTCTAAACCACAAAGTCCTAGATGGCCATAGATGAGTTAAAATGAAATAACTTGCTTTCTAAATATATGAGAGCTTTGGAAATATGTTACTAATTATGGGCATAATGTGGGACAATATTTGTATGTAAGATTGACTAAACAGTTCATGCTGAAATTTTCCAGGCTTGTTTTGATCTAAGGGGCTGAATGTTTGAACAAAAATAGCTCAGCCACTTGAGTCACAAGAGAGTGAAGTTTAAATATACTTTTGACATTATAAAAAAGTTTGTAACCCCCCCTTTTTTTAACAATTATAGTGCATCACATGTTTGTGATAGAAACCTTGCCAGAGACTTAATTTCTAAATTGCAGATCTGTCTTTTGGTGACCCAGTAAAAATTCCGGCCTTGGGGCAGTTTTAAATTATGCCAGTTGGGAACAGCTCCTATGGGCTATCATACTTCTTGAGATTACTGAAGTGTGTCATGTGTTGGCCAGGCTACCAGCATGCCTAAATACAAATGGGAGCCTAGACAAAGGGATAGCCTATGAGATGTGGAATGTGAAAAAGAAGCTGTGTCTGGGTCAAGAATCAGGCCCTCTATCCTTTTGGATCACACCTGTTGTGTATTCTAAAAAACACAAAGTAAGAATTTAGGAGCAAACAAAGACCATCATCTTTTCTGGAATCTTCTTTGGAATCAAAAAGGATTAGTTTTTTGACTAATGTTGATAGGAGAGATTATGTGAATTGCGTAAGAAAGGGTAACTTTGTTGAGCTGTTCTAAATGAGGTAAGGAAGCTGAATATTTTCTGAATTGTTCATCTTTATCATTTCTGCACTGTAGCATGGTATAAAGTAATAGGACAAGTTATTCCTCTGTCGCAAGGAAAATCATTCAGCTCTGTTCACAGCTCATCTATTATCCTGTAAAATTGTTACATAGTAAATTACATTATTTTACTGATGAAGGACCATCCAAATATGAACCTTATGAATAACAGTCACAACAATGATTGTCGAAAAGGAGCAAAACTATTTCTCTGCATGTTTCCCTTAAGGAGAAGGCTTTGGAGATTTATGGAGGAGCCAGAGGCCTTTATAGGGTATCTGGCATCCTACATGGATCCCAGGGCAGTTGCCGGTCAGGGAGTCAATCCCCTTCCCCTGCATCTTATCTCATGGATACGTAGATGAGATAATGCTTATGTTACTTATGTTAACTAGTATTACCTCCTGCATTAAGTTTAACTGGGAAATCTGTTCATGGTAGAAAGGAGAGGACTGCCGAAA